GCCAACCCCAAAAGGTTATACTTACTTCATTTGTGTAACATTCTAGAATTGACCAAATTATGGAATGAAGAAGGATTAGTGGTTGCCAGGGATTAAGAAGGTGTTGGGAGTGGGGAGAAATGGATGTGGCTATAAACGGGCAGCAGGAGGGATCCTTGTGGTGGTATCTTGACCGTATCAGTGCTAATATCCTGGTTGTGATATGGTTCACTATTGTTTTGCAAAATGTTACCATTGGGGGAAACTGGGTAATGGGTACATGGGATCTCTCTGAATTTTTTTTATAACTGCATGTGAATATATAATTATTTCAAAATGAAAAGCTTAATGAAATTGTATATTTGATAAAGCATATTTAAACTGCATGAAAGAATATATAATGGAGAAAGTAGTCTCTCTCTGCCTGTATGTGCCTTTCTCCTATTCCCTTCCTTAGCACCATTACTTTTCTGTGCCTCCTTCAATAGACGTCAAGTGTGGTGTGTGTGTTTGTGTGTGTGTGTGTGTGTGCGTGTGTGTGTGTGTGTATTTGCCAGAGACACAAACAATGCTTCTGTTCACCTTGCTTTTCTTAGTTTATCCTTATATAGGTTCACAAAGATTTACCAAATTCTTCTCCAGCTATGTCATGCTCTATTGCAAGGATGTATCATTTTATATTATTTTTCTACTGAGTTACCTAAGGAGGGGGATTTCAGTTGCCTCAAATCTTTTGTTATTATGAACAATGATGCAGTAAATTCATCATGTGTATGTATTTAAACTCATGTTCACGTTTATTTGTAGGATAAATTCCTTGAGGTAGAGGTTTGAGTTGAAAATTATGTTCATTTTATATTTATATATTTATATTTAAGTTGCCCAATTCCCCCAAAGAAGTTAAACCTTAACATTCTCCCCAGTAGTGTCATAGAGTGCCTATTTCCTTATGCTCTTCCCAATGGAATGTTATCCAAGTTTTCGATCTTTACCAATCTCACAGATGAAAATTTATCACCTTTTATTTCGCATTTATCTGATTATGTATGAGATTGGTCATTTTGTCATATGTCTGAAAGTTAAATTTTTTTTATGTTTTGGTTTATTTTTTGAGGGGGGGAGGGGCAGAGAGAGAGGGGGACAGAGGATCTGAAGCAGGCTCTACACTGATAGCAGTGAGCCCGATGTGGGGCTTGAACTCACTAACCATGAGATCATGACCTGAACTAAAGTTGGACACTCAACTGACTGAGCCACCTAGTTGCCCCTGAATAGGTTTAGTTTTAACTAAATCAAAATAAGAACCAAACTTCTCCAGATTTGGAGTATGTATGTTTCTTAAAATTGCATCAACTTCTTTTACCAATTAGACTTTTTAAAACTTTTGCTGTTTATTTGGTTTATTTATGTATTTTAATGTTTATTTATGGGGGGGAGGGGCAGAGAGAGAGGGAGACAGAGAATCCAAAGCAGGCTCTGCACTGACAGCAGAGAGCCTGATGCAGGGCTCAAACTCAGGAATGGTGAGGTCATAACCTGAGCTGAAGTCAGACACTTAACTGACTGAACCACCCAGGAACCGCTAAAATTTTGCTGTTTATATTAAAGTTAGGACTCTGTGGATCGTTCCTCAACTTATTTAATTATTATTATTTTTTAAGTTTCAATTTTGTTTTTCCTCTTGGCCATTAAAAGATTTTTAGGTTTTGAGTCTAATGCATATGTACGAACACTCTGACATTACATTTGATTGTGTGAGTACTTCGCTGAGGTTCTGGATGTTGACAGAAGTCCAAAATTAGGTAAGATTAGACATTGATTTCCTTTAGGGCAAGTTCTTGTGGAGAAGTTTAGGGATTCGTAAATATATATAGCCTCAGAGGTCATGTCTTTATTATGGCAAAAATTTTTAAGTATATGAATTTTTTTTTCCGCATTACCTCCTGCCAGGAAATTAACTGGTAATATATCTTGGTGTTATATAGCTAATAAACTTTCAATATTGCTACCCATTACTATGTACAGGTACAGTCCTA